ACGTGTTGCCGCTCTTAGTGAAACCTCTATGTACGACTCTGGCGTTACATCGTTCGGCGACTACACATGTCTATACTCTGGCCTCCCAAGCTCCGCTCCATCTCGTTCTGTTCATGGTGTCGCCATCTGCTTGGACAAGCAAGCAACTGCAGCCTGGAGAAATGCTGGATCTACATGGGAAGCTGTCAGTGAACGCATCATCTATTGTCGTCTCAATGCTCATCCTGTTAACATCACAGTCATCTCTATCTATGCCCCAATCAATCCTCAGTCTGGTCAAAATGCAACAGCTACTGCATCTGACAGTTTCTATTGTGACCTACAACAAACAATTCACAAAGTCAACAATAATGATATAGTTCTTATCATGGGAGACTTTAACGCTCGTGTGGGAAAAGAACAACATGAAACAGCCTCAAGTGTCGTCGGTCCTCATGCAATTGATAAGCTCAATGAAAATGGACAACGACTCCTTGACTTCTGCTCACACAACGACTTCATCATCTCTAATACATTCTTTCAGCACAAGATCATTCATCAAGCAAGCTGGATGCATGCAGGCAATAAGCAATGGCATATGCTCGACTACACACTTGTCAACAGGAAGTTTCGTTCGACCGTCGAAGACGTCCGTGTTCTACGCAGCTGTATCGGAACAATCGGAACTGACCACCACCTCCTTCGAACAAAACTCAAATTTCATCTCAAGAGTCGACGAAAACAAAAGCTTTTTTCTCGTTCCACACGACTTGACAAGAAAAAGCTACAAGATCCGATTCGCAGACGAGCATTTCAAGCTGCCCTATCCTCTGTGAGCCATGCTACTTCTTCTCAATATACATGCAATGAAAAATACAATGATTTTGTCGAAACAGTCAACGATCTCAGTCAACAACATTTTGCACAAGATTTACCTACAGTCAAGAGAAAAAAATGGATCACTAGTGAAATACTAGACATCATACAGAAGAAAGCTCAAGCATTTCAAGACTGGCAAAACAATCTCAAATCGAAAAATGCACGAAAGTATTATACCAAGTATTCTCTTCTTAGCAAAACGGCAAAGAAAGCTTGTGAAGATCGACAAACAGAATACTGGGATGAACTGAGCCTCGACATCGAACAAGCAATCAAACAAAACGATGCAGCAACTGCCTACGCAATGCTCAGAAGACTTCGAGGTGGTAAGGCCAAGATAGAAGATATGCCAATCTTCGACAGTCAGGGCAAACTACTCACCAATTCACATGACCGTCTCACTCGATGGCGGGAATACTTCTACGATCTACTCAATGTGCCTTCATCTATCGATCCTTCTGTCATTTCAACCATCATTGTGCCGACTATCTCTACTCAAGAAGAACAACGGCAGAACAAATCACCTTCTCTTTCTGAGATAGAACAAGCAATTGCCCGAATGAAATGTGGAAAGGCTCCGGGTATGGATGGAATCACAGCCGACGTCCTAAAAGCTGGTGGTCGTGTACTCGCTAGACGATTACAAAAAATATTTGTCGATATATGGGAAAGTGAAGAAGATATGGAAGACTGGTCAACTGCCATCCTCATCCGTCTTTTCAAGAACAAAGGAGACAAAAAGGATTGTGGAAACTATCGTGGAATCTCCCTTCTACCCGTTGCCAGCAAAGTCTTCTCCCGAATCATCCTCAACCGTGTACAACAGCACCTCAGATCTCAACTACTCGAAATACAAGCCGGTTTTCAATCAAACCGATCTACCATTGACCATATATTCACTCTCAAGATGCTCCTCGAACATACACGAGATTACAACAAACCACTATTCCTATGTTTCATCGATATTCAAAAAGCATATGATTCTGTCAACCGTGCTCTTCTCTGGACGATCTGCAAGCACTATGGACTCTCTGACAAAATCGTTCGTCTTCTACAACTACTCTACAACGACTCAAAAGCCCGAGTCCGTATCAACGGCGAACTCTCCCTTCCTTTCAATATAGAAACAGGCGTACTTCAAGGTGGCATTCCATCTCCAATTCTCTTCAATATATTTTTCGATTTCATCGTCCGTCGAGTGCTCGAACAACTTCAGATCCTCAATGTTACTGGTGTAAAACTGTCGTATGGCAAGGATTTCTTCCATTCTACAACTGACGATGATGATGATCTGCAACTCTTGGCTCTCTTGTATGCCGACGATGTCGCCCTGTCTACAGACAATGCCCTCGATCTCGAGTTAGCAATCAATATCTTCGAAGAAATAACTCAACAATTTGGGATAACTATGAGCATCAAGAAGACGTGTATTATGCCCATGAGGCAATTGGAAGAAGACGTCTCTAGAAAAATCAGCAAAGGACAAGAAGTACAAATACCTCCCATCAACATCAACATCCGTCAAGAAGACATACACACAGTCGATGAATTCTGCTATCTCGGTTATCACTTTACTCGAGATTTTTCGTCCGACAGAGAAATTGATGCCCGTCTTGCCAAAGCCTCAACAGCCTTCAATATGCTTCGTCACGTCATCTGGTTTAGGAAAACGGTCTCTACAACTGCACGTCTACGCATATTTCGTTCTTGTGTTCTACCTGTCCTTCTCTATGGCAGTGAAGTATGGACTTTGACAACAAAACTTGAACAACGACTATGCACCTTCTACCATCGATGTCTTCGTACGATTATTGGTGTGAATCTCGGCGATCAAATGTCAAACGAACAACTACTTACTCTAACTGGGCAACCTTCACTCGTTGATATCATGAGACGAAACCGACTCAGATGGTTTGGCCATGCAAATCGTATGAATAATCTTGATGGAGCACCTTCTCTCGTCAAGAAAACCATGTTCTCATACTATTCTAACTCAAAACGACCTCTTCATTCGGGGAAACGAAAGACATGGCAAGATATGATAACCGATGACCTCGAAAAATGTGGAATAAGGAATTGGAGAAGGGAATCCATGGATCGAGATATTTGGAGAGCTAAAATCAATCAACATACACAAGCAAGACCTCCAGCATCGAATATCTTAGATATTGTTCATCAATTCAAACAACGAGCTCAACATAGAAGAGCAGCTGCTCTCCTTCCTCCTCCACCTAAAGTCACGGAACTGATTCTCAAGAACAACGATCGAACGTACACATGTCCCAATTGCAAAAGGAAATTTCAACCACAAGGAATTACCAAGCACGCAAAATCCTGTGCAAAGAAGTGGTGTGAACAAAATGGGATTTCAATTGATTGATTGATTGGTGCATCCTACTTGTTGAAGAAACAAATTTGCCCATACAACAGCGCTCAATGACGGTTCTCATCCAAACCAAGTCCTTGTGGCTTGAAGATGACAACCTGACAACTGCTGGAAGACGGAACCAATTCGATGAACGAACTGAACATCGAGCGAATGAACTGTTACTTTTGTGTTCTAGTTTTTTGTACTTTTTTTTTTTTGTCTTCACCCAAAACCTGCTTGGTAAGGGTATAATATAGATAGATAGATAGAGTTTTTCAGAGAACCTCAACAAAGTTGGATTTTTCATGAAAATTTCGCTTTTCAACGAAGGCGATCTACCAACAAATGAAATGATTTCAGAGCTGATATTTAGCACTTTCAAACCCTATGTGTGGTCTACAGTTCCACATGAGTAATCTTCTATGTGAAATTTCAATCGTGGAGACAATTCGGTCTTGATAATTCTATTTTAGTAATTTTTAATGAAGCAATTCGACAGTTGCTGTCTCCGTTCATTAACTCGAAGTTGATCTTCCACATATCAAACGAATACTCAAAAGGAGTTGAAAGCATATTCACCCCAATTGTTGATAAGGAATATGGTATTCCGGTTGCTTTTTTCTGCAAGATTCTTTCAGAAGCATTAAGATATAGGAATATGTTGAATGCATCTGTATGTTAGTATAGTGTGTATATGTACGTGGATTAGTGGAAAATAAGACGCTCACACACATTCAAATTCATCAAATGACTATGTTCTTGCTATTTTCTAAAATATCTACCTTAATGACCTTCAAATAGACAGATAATATTTATTGAATAGTCTCCGATGCAAAAAAAAGAAAAACTATATCCATTTTGATCAATGGTTTCATTTGAAAATTTATTTTCTATGTCAAATGATTTTTGAAGCTCTACATGTATGAAATTACGGACAATATCGAATCCAGATTGCGAGTCTCTTGTAACTTGTTACTCTTGCTTGCAAATTATGAAAATCAAGTTTGTTTTTCTATCCTTCCATCATTATTAACGCGAAGCAGAACGAAAGATTCGGTATATTTTCGTCGATGCATCCAGAGTTGTAAATTATATTTATTTTGTAGATTATCGACCATAACATCTACACCGTTTCAACAAAACAACGAATAAAAAAAGCCAAAAAAAAATGTAAGTAACAGTTATAAGCACGTGCTTCACGTGTGATGATTGGATACGAATTTTCGTCGCTTCTTTCTTTTCTAGAAAAGATGATTAATGAATTCGTCAAGTAATAAATAGGTTTTTACAAACATAAAAAAAATGTCGCATTGATAGATAACTATTGTCGATGAAGAAATATTCTCGGATGTCCATTTGCTCTTTAGTTGCCATTTATGCATATTTTAGACTCTAATGAACTATGCCTACTATATGATGGTTCGTGCTCATGGCTTCTTTTTAAGGACATCAAACGTTTTTAGTGAGTTTTTGCTAAAGAAATTCGTATTTTGAGCAAAACAATATTTTTGAATTTAGACCGGATAACTTTGCCGATGTAAAAATCTCAATTAGGCAATTATATACTGCCAATGGAAAAAGAGCTATACTTTGAAAGTTTCATATGGGCACTGTCTTTTTTTATGGTAGACATAGTTCACTAAAGTCTACCTAGATGCATGAATCCTGGCTCATAAACGAACGGAATTCTACGGATGTTTTCTCATGAGTCACAGGTGATATGATGAAAAGAACTTTGAATAGAGACTAGAATTTATGTCTTGTAGAGAGAGGAATGGCTGATGATATGAATAAATCGGTTCGACCTATTGACTTAAGTGCCAGTGAGTAATTATGTTACATCATATAGTCCTCTGTCATACTGCTCATTTATTCGTTTAGAAACAAGTGGTAATGACTTCAATGAACTACTTTTGCCAGACGATGCTGCAACTTCAATTGAGACAACCATACCTTCTACACCAACAACATCAATGAATGGTAGATCTATACAATCGTCAAATCAACATATTTATTCTGTGAATTATTCAGCTTCAAACGTCGAAATTTTGCCTTCGAATTCGAATAATGCTAGTACCACGTCTGGTAACAATGCTGGCAAAACGCCAAGTGATAGAAACAATAAAACAGTACAAGAACCTTCACCATCACTTGGTATACAAAAAAAAAGAGATCGTACTGTTATAGACTACACATATTTTCTTTATGTCATTGCAGATCAGTCACCTATTCAAGTGTGCTGTAAAGCTATTAATAGTCAGCAAAAGCAACGACATATTATGATCAGCTACCATCATGAATCATCATTAGATATTTGTGAAAAAAATCTGTAATCGACTTAAGGATAAATTAGATGACTTCATATGTATAAATATATATGATAATTTTCATTGATAGAATCTAAATTACAAAGTATGGATGGACAAAAATGATTTGCATGGAGGTATACATGAAGCAATGGCTCGAGCAATTGAAAATTGCTTCGTTGTTCTTGTCTGCTTCAATCATCAATATTATGACAGTTATTATTGTAAACGAGGAGAGTTTTTCTAGAAAATTTTAAATATTTTCTCATTTTTCACTACTAATAATATTGATTTAGAGATCTTGTACACTGTGAATAAACATATTAAATTCATTCCATACCTGAAGGATCTGTAGATATTGCCATTAGATCATTCATAAATTAGCATCGTCCATCTCCTTCAACTTCGCTCAGTTTGAATAGACAAAATAAGAAATAAAATATATAAATAACTCATATAACTGATCAATTATAATTCGACTTCTCGTTACCGAATAATTTTGATCAAGCCTTTGAAGAGTTAATTGCTGAAATCAAAGCCATTGAGATCGAAGAACAGACAGACTCCGGCAAATGAGAAATTGTACATCAATATCTCATGGAGAGATTGTGCGATTGCTGATCATCATTTTTAATCGAGACATCATTCTATTACTGTATATCAATAGGATTGGAACCAAATATTGAGAATATAATTTCCTCATATTCATCAAAAGACTTGATCTAGAAAATCATTAATGTTTCTACACTCACGAAAAGTATTAAAATCATTAGAAATTTCGTAAAATTTGGGCAACCACGAAATGTTTTCAGATCGAGATATAAGCTTATTCTACTAACATCGTTACACTTCGGAACAAGTAAAAACAGGTATTTTCTTTACCATGTGAATATCACAATAGAGGAATATTCGTTGCCGCTCAAGCTTTAGGAAGTTTCTAAAGACTATACTGTTTACCTAACGAGAATATCTCAAATTGAGATTCAATCATTTCAATTCTCAATGATCCTATTCACATAGACAGGAGATCGAATAAATTACTCGTAATTCGACAAAAGAAGACTAAAAAGCCAAGTCAAAAGAGACTTCCGTACTAATCGCCAAGATCGATTCGGTGTGGGTGTATGAAAGTGGGAGCAGGATATGAATGAAGGTTATGTTCCATGATCAGTTCTACGACATAGTTTGTTATTATTGTGTCTATACTTAAAACTTCTATTTATTTTAGAAACGAATCCATCTACAATTAATGAAATTATATCTACTCATTTGAATACTATTATCTCTGATTGTCAAGAATTATTTGCCATGAGCGATAATGATTTACAGACACTTACTAAGAACGAACTTATTCAACGTATCACTCGTTTGCGTCAACAACATTTTAGTGATACTACATCGTTACGAGAACCTGGCAATAATAGGGGTGTGAATTTATTGTTATTGTTATTTGTTATTAATAACAATAACTTTTTTTTTTCTGAAGAACCTTCAACTTGAATTGCTGTCTATCTCAACTATACCAATTCTATTGGTCTATGTTTAACGGTGGCGTACCCAGGATTTTTCAGTATACTGAATCTCTACTTCTGAGCATGGGTCCAAAATGAAAGTCATGGGCGGGTGATGTTAGACCCAAACGAAGGAATTTTATCAAAAACATTTTGCACTCGAAGTTTGTGAAAAAAATTAGCATTTTTCTGCCCCCCCCCCCCCGTGGAGTTTTTTCCTGTTAGTAGTATCCTGGCTTTTAGAGTTTCAAAAGACGCTACATCGAATTTCATCGACAGATTTCAAAGCACGGGTGACGGTTTGTACACAAAATGCCCCTAAAAAAAGCTACTTCGAAAAACTTTTCCATCTTCATTTTCACACTTCCCACTATGAGTACTAACTGTTATCAACTCATCCAGAGCATTTCCTGCCACCACTTTTTTGCATATCCGACCAGCTGCGATTCAGGCCTGGCTATGGTCGACTTCTGCCAGGAATCGTGTAGTGATGCTGATCTGATCCCAACCATAATCGATTGGTAAGAGCGTCATTTTTTTCTGTGCAGATAGNTTTTAGACCAGAGAAGTATGCAAAAGTTTCAATGAAATATTGGTACAAATCATTCAAGATCAAAAAGATCGTAAAAAGCTAGACGATACTACGATCATTACTTTGATACCGATTGAATCTAAATTATTACAGTCAAGAAATGCTCATTTCCTATGGTTTCTACTTCACATTAAAGTTCTAATTCGAATACATCATTCACGCCTGCCGGGGATGTCTTTCGACATTCACAGGAGCCCACCTCTGCTTGCAGTGTGTGGGGGGCGCCCCTGGGCTGCCGGTAGCCAAAAATCGTCTTTCTGTCAGGCTTGCTACCTGTCAGAGGGACATTAAACTTCTCTAGCACAAGAACAAGACAAGAATCCGTGCATTGGTGCACGCAAATCGACGTTTTTTGGTCACTGGAACGTTCGATCGTGTCGACAACAATGGAAGAAGGAACTCATTGTCAAACAACTTTATAAACATCGTATTCAAGTTGCTGCACTCAGCGAAACGTCTATATATGATTCTGGTGTCACTAAAATCGACGACTATACATTCATATATTCTGGCGCCTCAAGTTTAACGAAAACACGATCTGCTCATGGTGTAGCTCTCTGTTTTGGAAAACAAGCAAGCAAATCATGGAGAGATGGTGGTTCTACATGGGAAGCAGTTAGCGATCGTATCCTCACTGCTCGTCTACAACGTCACCCAATCTATATAACTATCATTGCTGTGTATTCTCCTATCAATCCTCCACCTGGACAATCAACGGCAATCGACGCTGCAGATGCTTTCTACATCGATTTACAACAAACGCTCGATAAAACACCAAAAAATGAAATGGTTCTCATCATGGGTGATTTTAATGCAAGAGTTAGTCAACAACAACATCTTGATGGATTTAGTGTAGTTGGCAAGCATGCAGTGGATGATCTAAATGAAAATGGACAACGTCTCACCGATTTCTGCTCAAACAACGACATTATTATTGCCAATACATTTTTCGAACACAAACCAATTCATCAAATGACTTGGATGCACCCGGGTAATAAAAAATGGCATATGATCGATTATACTCTAGTCAATCGAAAATTCAGATCCTCTGTAGAAGATGTACGAGTCTATCGAACAGCTGCTAGTGTTATTGGAACAGATCATCATCTCGTACGAACCAAACTTAAATTCCATCTGAAAAGTCGAGTAAAAACTACGCAAAAACAATTCTCTGGTAGACTAAACACAATGAAATTACGTGATCCTGTTTGTATTCAAACTTTTCAAGCTGCTCTGTCTTCTACGACTACATATACTTCACCAACCATAGCAGCCAACGACAAGTATGTCGAATTATCTACCACCTTGAAAAACATCAGTGAAAATATCTTTGGAGATACTGGACCTCCAAGAAAGCACAAGGAATGGCTCACAAATGAAATTCTCGATATAGTCGGTAAAAAGTCTGAAGCCTTTCTATCATGGCAAAATCATCGAGGTACTCGAAATGAAAAGAAGTATCGAACACAATATAATATTCTTCGAAAACTGGCAAAGAAAAAGGTTGGAGAACGTCAAGTGGAATATTGGGATGCATTGAGCCTGGAAATCGAACAAGCAATCAAACAACATGATCCTGCTACAGCTTACAGAATGATCCGAAGACTGAAAGGAGGAAAAGCCAAAATCGAAGAAATGCCGATCTATGATAAACAAGGTATCCTTCTCGTTAACTCATATGATCGTCTTCATCGCTGGAGAGAATATTTCTCTGAACTCTTCAACGTCCCTACAACAGCGGATCCTGCAACTATTCAATAAATACCAATTAGACAACTATCACCAAACGAACAAAGTCGACAAGATAAACCACCATCACTTCAAGAAGTTGAAGAAGCAATTAGACGAATGAAAAGTGGTAAAGCTCCTGGTATGGACGGTATATCAGCTGACATTATCAAGGCTGGTGGTCGTGCTCTGGCTATTAGACTTCATGCTTTATTTGTCGAAATATGGGAAAAAGAAGAACCAATAGATGACTGGTCAACAGCAATAATTATTCGTCTTTTCAAAAACAAAGGGGATAAACGAGATTGTGGAAACTATCGTGGTATTTCGCTATTACCAGTAGTAAGCAAAATATTCTCTCGTATCATCTTGAATCGTTTACAAGCTTATTTGGGGAAACAAATTATGGAACAACAAGCTGGATTTCAGTCAAACAGATCTACTATTGACCACATATTTACTCTTAAAATGTTGATGGAAAAAACTCGAAATTATAACAAGTCATTATTTCTATGTTTCATAGATATACAGAAAGCCTATGATTCCATTGATCGTGAAATTCTGTGGCGAATATGTAGACATTATGGTTTGTCTGAAAAAATGGTTCGGCTCCTCCAACGCTTATACAAAGAATCCAAAGCAAGAGTGCGCATAAATGGTGAATTATCTGATCCATTCGGCATCGAAACTGGTGTTCTACAAGGAGGTATACCTTCTCCAACACTGTTCAACGTCTTCTTCGACTTTATTATGCGTCAAGTATTTTTACATATGGAGGTACAAAATGTTTCTGGTGTGAAATTGAACTATGGAAGGGATTTCTTCCACTCTACAACCGATAACAACGAAGATGTGGAACTATTGGCTCTTATGTATGCCGACGATGTAGTTGGTTTTTTCGAAAGTGCTACAGATCTGGAAATATTCGTTCACACTTTCGAAGATATATCCCAACAATATGGTATCACAATGAGTATTAAAAAGACTTGTATAATGCAATGTAAACAACTCAAGGAAGAAAACTCAAGAAGAATAATCAAAGATGAAGAGGTTGCTTACCAACTCATTGACATCAACATCAGAAATGAGACAATTGCTACTGTGGATGAATTCTGCTATCTTGGATGCCACTTCACCCGAGATTTCTCATGCACTAAAGAGATGGAAGTACGATTGGCAAAAGCAACAACGGCCTTCAATATGCTTCGTCACGTAGTATGGCACAGAAGAACAATTTCTATTGAAGCAAAGCTACGAATCTTTCGAGCGTGTGTTCTTCCTATCCTTCTGTATGGTAGTGAGGTTTGGTCTCTCACAAGAGCCTCAGAACATCGTTTATGTGCATTCTATCATCGATGCCTTCGAACCATCATTGAAGTCAACCTTGGAGACCGAATATCAAATCTACAACTGCTTCAAATCACGGGTCAGCCGAGCCTCGACGATATCCTACGTCGAAATCGCCTGCGTTGGTTTGGTCACGTAAATCGAATGGTGGATGAAAACAATGAGCCATCGCTTATAAAGAAAATCATGTTCTCATGGTATGGTGAGTCAAAAAGACCTCGAAATGCTGGTATGTATAAGAAATGGGAAGACAGAATAATGGAAGATCTGGAGAAATTAAATGTACGTAACTGGAGAAGAGCCACGCTTGATCGAGATACGTGGCGTGCAACGATCAATCAGCATACAGTGGTCAAGCCTCCTGCACACGATATACTCGACATTATACAACAAATAAAGCAACGTGCTGTGCAAAGAAGGAGAGCAGCTCTTTCTCCTCCTCCTCCAAAAGTTACTCAACTTATTCCGCGAAACAACAACAAGACTTATGTATGCCCGAACTGCAAGAAAGAATTCAAGCCACAAGGAATTACCAACCATGTGAAATCCTGTGCAAAGAAATGGTGCCAACAAAATGGGGTGCAATAAACTAACAAGTAACCTACATCCAATGTTGAAGAAGCTGATTTCCAAGTGGACAGTATTAAATGAAGGTCGTCATTGAAAACTCGTCTTTATGTCGGGGAGGTGACAACTGGAACAAACCCGCTGGCTGCTGGAACTCATCGACGAACGAACATGAAATTGACTCTTAGAACATTGTTTTTTTTCTATTTTTTCCCTTCTTTTGTGTAATTTTCCTTTGTACTTTTTTTGTCTTCACCCAATACCTTTTAGGTACGGGTATAAATACATACATACATACATACATACATCATTCACAAGATGCCAGAAAAGAACGAGTAGACATGTGCAGAAAACTCTATGCTGATAAATGAGATAAATTGACCAATATTGGGCTCTTTGAACGTGAATATACCTTGGGCAAAGCTATCTGGTGTTATACTTTAGATTCTTGTTTATATCGACTCTTAAACAGTGCTCTACGTTGCCGTAATTTTGATTTGTTCTTTGCATTTCGGTTTTTCATCAGTGACTTGACTCATGCTATTGAGCACCAGTACGAACAATTCCTTCGGCTTAGTAAAAAACGAGATCTTGTGAAAGTCTTTCGAGGTCAATACGTCAATGATAGTGAACTAAAATTAAAATGCTTGACAATGTACATGAATTTATTCTGATGAACAGTTTCTTCTCAACTAGCCGCCAACATCGAATAGTAATGAGTTTTCTGCAAGATCGCTCAATGAGTAATAACTATCGACGTATTCTCTTCGAAATAACAATTGATCCACGTTTACCAATAAAAGGCTTTGCAGATATCAAAGAACATAGTGCATATGACACAGAAGACGAAGTACTGATTATATTGGAAGCTCTCTATCGTATTGATAACATAATCGAAGATTCTAAAGAAGGATTTCATGTGGTTCAATTATCTTTAGCTAGCAACACCGATGATCGTTTGAAAGAAATGTATGATCATTTGAAACGAACAATCAATCATGAATATACATTCGATGCTCTCGGAAAAATTCTTCATGAAATGGGTGAATATCAACAGGCGCTGAAATACTATGATTGAATGATGCAGGAAATCCAAATCATGTTTGCCAATTGTCATATGGATATCGATCGAGCTATGTATGATATAACAAGTTATGATAATGCATTGAAACATTATGAAGCGAGCTTGACCATTCGCAAAAATGAATTAGGTGAATGCCATTCAGAAGTTGGAATAAGTTACAGCTGCATTGGAGCAGCACTTTGTCGACAAGGAGAAATGCATCGAAGTTTAGAAAACCTTCATCGAACAATAAAAATTCAAGAACAAACACTTCCATCAAATAATCTTGAACTCGCCGAAACCTACAATAGTCTAGGTTTGGCTTATTTTACGTTAAATAACCTCCAACAAGTGGCCAACTATTTTCAGAAATCACTCAATATTCATTTACAAATTCTACCTGAAGATCATCCAGCTATTAGATTCGCTTACAATAATTTGAGTCGTGTCCTTGAGAACGATCAACGCTATGAGCAAGTACTACTAGTGCACGTGAAAAGGCGTTGATGATCAGTTTGAAAACATTACCTAGAAATCATCCAGACATTGAACGAATTGAAAACAATATACACCGGATGATAAACATTAGAAATGTATAAAAACCCTACTCCCTCATCAAAGGACAACTCTGAATATTTATTGTTAACTTCACTTGGAGTGGATTGATGTCCTGGATATGTATTGCCATTATGAGCTTTGACGACTAAGAAGTTCTTGTCGAACATTTTTCATTTTTGTCGACATTTCAGAATAATATCTCACATCATTGTTTGATTTATCACAATACTTTTGATTCCCAAAAAAATCCCTTTGAGAAATATGACTATTCATAAATATTAAAAGAGATTTTAGGATTTTCCGTCACCGACAAAGAACTAATGACATCTCGTAAATTATCATCAATGTTATGTGTACAATAGTCATGACATGGAAGGCAGTCCGAATCAATTGTGTACGAAAAGACCTTCATTTTGATCTGTATCATGTATACCTAATGAATATTTATTTCTAATCTATTTCAGTTAGACGTGTACAGTATCATGCCAGAGCCATTTTGTTGAGGACGAAGATTAGGATGGAAAAAATAAATGCATCCAAGCAAAAAACCACACCAATCCCACGATTGGTGTCCATCTCTATGCTTTATAGAAGATCCCATTGTTCAGACACTATGACTCTCTTCTCATATATTCATTTTACCGATTTTTTTAGGTGATTTTGTATAACTACGATATACATTCGTTAAATGTTGGTAAATAATGTGGATGTGGATGTGGATGTGAGCATCGGCAAAAAACATATATTGTGCCCACACGTACACCCCCGTCCCACATCTAAATCTTATAAAAAGACGCACAAAATGTTAATCGTTGTATCCCTTCTATAAATACCTAAGAAAAAGAATTTTTTTTAAAACAATTGGTAGGATTTTTTTCCCTCTTGCGAACTGTGTATGATTAAATATTTGCCATATGCTAGTAAATAGAATGAGACGAACAAGAAAGAGAAATACTTGCCCGAAAAATTTTCAATATCCCTATGAATTAGTCAAAAAGGTCTTATGGATGGCAGTTAAGTATAATTGCCTATCGTTTTACAAGCTGTTTTAACGAATTCATAAAAGATTAAGTAACTATAGTTGTACAAGGCATTTTTAATGAGCACGAAACGATTAAATCAGTTATTGTCTAGTAAGCTGTTTTTTGATAAATTGGTATAAAAGTTGTCAATTTATTGCATTAGTGTTTGTCTAGCTTCTTTCTCTCATTTTACTTACGAATGTATAAGGCATATAAATCATACGCCGTTTGGAAATGGAGAAAATTTCCTATCAACTGATAACAAAATTTTACTTTCAAAACGTATTTATTGAAGAATATGTTTTGAGATTGTCTCTGTTTTTCTTATTGTGTCGTCCTGTTTATATATGTGTTAAGAAAATGAATTATATTCGATTTAAAAGAGGAGAAAAAGCTCTATCTTTTGGTAAAAAAGTTTTCTTTCAACACTTGTCTATTGAAGAGAAATAGAGCTCGACATTTTTTGTCATTATTTTTACTTCGTAAGTCAATAGAGAATTACTGTCATGTTAAATGATACCCTTTAGAATAATAAACAAAATTCATTTCAACAAACAAATAATAGTGAAAAAATGTAAACTTTCATTTCTTTAGTAATGCACCATCATTTTCTTTTGATTTTATTAATGATTGAAACTGGCATATAGCCACCATTTCTGAATCTTCACGAGGGTGCATTAAAACGTCATAACTTGAATATAAATTATAAAATTTATAAAGCGTAGAAAAGAAACTTTGTGGGTATAGACTTAGTTCTTGTCATTAAACCAACACCTACATCCTTTTTTCATTTTTATTTTTGGAACAGTGACGATTAGTTCCAGGAGAGAATTAGTTGCAATGTTGACAAATAAAATTACCACAAATTTTTATAAGTATCACAACGTAATAAGCTAGAAAGATTCAGAAACTAAATAATAATCTGTTCAACGACAAGAACATCAAATGCGAGTACCAGTACCAAACTTTAATGAATTCTTGTATTTGTTTATGAAGTATTACACTTGATTAAGTAGTAGACCATTTAAAATCTTTCCATATTACATACAATTTTCTCTTAGTTTCAGGCTTCTATCTATTGCGGGTTTTGCTATTTTATAATGAATATAACATTCATCTTTCTATAATTCTTTCCATAAATCCAAAAAGATGAATATAAACATATAGTCACTGGCAATTGATAAGGTCACCTACTTGTTGATCACACAGGATATATCCTCACTCTCAAGTTGTCCTCTATGATTGAACCACTATATGTGTAGGTTGAGCTTTGTATGAAACTGAAGAAGAACTACATTTCTGATAAACATACAATCAATTATCGCTTTTTCTGTTTAAAGAAACTTTTTTTTTTTTTTTCATTTCAAATGTTGAGATATTTCTATAAAATAATTCACATTGATTGAACTTCAACTGATTTTCATTTAACTCTTCGTTTAGACTTTAAGTGAAATATCATTTTAAAATGATTTTTTTAATAAAAATGTCTCATCTTGTCTATTTTTTTACTGATCAAAAAATCTCAATATGCAAAATAAACTTACCTATATCAATGATAAAAGAGCATTTATGGGTTTTATTGAATTTTAATCGAAACTATTCCATATGATTTATTTCGAATTATTTTGTTCTTTGATATACTAAAAGTTTTAATAAAAAAAAAAAAAAAGACTTTTGTTTTACTTTGACAACAACATTTTTTATAAATAAAAAATGTATATTGTCGCTGAAATGATTTTATTTCCTGTTGAAATAGGTAAATAAATAAAACAAAAAAATTTTTATTGAAATATTTTCGTCAGTATTGGATGAAGGACATAGTCAACAAGTTTTATTTCATCAATTGATGAATTTTGTTCAACGTTTCTCATTGATTCCATTAATAAAATAGCTGAACAATAGTATGGATCATGGCAAAGTCTTTTTAACATAAGAATAAAACAAAATAAATAATTCAATGAATAATCAACATAAAAAATTGAAAGGAAATCTTTTCATCTATTGAGAAAGTATTATAGGTAAATGTAGTTGCCTTCTATTTTTCATATGAAATATTAATGATATTATAGATTCGGATGGCAACGGAAGAGAACCTTTACTTACTTTCAACTAAATTTTCAACAAGAAAAAATCTATCTTAATTTATCGTTTTAATCATAGTGCAAGAATAATTCTTAATATACACATATCCAATCTTGTTCCAGAAGAATAAATATTTTCAAGAAGCTGGAATTTAACTATTCTTATTATAATATTCTATTATTAAATATATAGAAATATTTACTCAAGTCATTCATTATATGCAGGCGATATTCATCGATTCATATCTATAAATGGTCCGTTAGAAATACTTACCATAATCGACCTTTTCTCATAATCTATAGATAATTTTTCTATTTTGTAAGAATAATATGAAAGTATCTATATCATCATTTATCACCTTAGTTAGATGAATTTTTTTTTCTCAATAAAAAAATCATTGATCTATTACGCACTATTCTACTAAAAAACTATAGTTTATTGAAGCATAAATAATAGCTACTTAATAATAAACTTCTTTACGAAAATTTCTCTAGATAAAAATTATTATCAAACATAAAGCATAATCCATAGATATGTTTAAAGAGCATAGGTAATTATGTAAAATAAAAATTAATACAAACTATCGATTAATTATGTTAAAATGTGTATTTCCGTTTGAATGTTTTCTTTTTCACACTGGCCCACATTAACATCCAAATTAATCAGCATATGATATTATGAAATGTACAAAAAATTGCATGAACAGTTGTTCCTTGTGTCGAATAATTATGTATGAGCTTCATCGCTCAAAGAGGAACAATGTGAGAAAAAATATTGAGATTTATCTTTAAAAACACGTTTTGATCGTGTGTGACTTATGGTGTGAAAAGATGATAAATGATGTGTTTACTGCAACTGATCAATCAACATCCTTTTACTGCATGCATGATTTAATATGTGCACAAGATTCATCTGGGCATTTGAATGTTTATCTGTAAATAAGACTCAAAAAAAACAGAAAACATATTGACGCACAAATTTGCGCAAACATATGAAAAAAAGCATGTGTACGTAATAATTTTATATACTTTCTGACTTAAATATTGCATTCTCAAGTGAATGTAAATCATTCTTGAAAAGAGCAGAAGCATTGAAATATGTCCGAAGACGTACTACAAATCTCGACACATCCACAAAACATCAATACAGTGCTACCCATAAGTCCCTCAGTCCCCGAACTTGGCCCATATTTCAAGTATTTTGTTTGAGATTTTTACTACATGTGAGTATTGATAAATCCTGATCGTAGGCATCAACTCGACATCAATTCAACGTATTAGAGCAAAGTTATACACCAAATACTATCGTTATCTTGCAACGATTTTATCTCAATCATAGAATCACTTTGGAGACCGAAGAACCCAGCATTCAAAAGTTTCAATTTTCAGCTTCCTTCGGTAAAATTTCCATTAGAGAAGTCCTTCAGGTTTCTAAGATATAAGCCTATTAATGGATATCGACTAAATCACAATTATCATGATTTTTACTTTGTCATGATGAAAATCACTTTTACATTGATCGATACATTTGAAAATTTTTTCTCAACTTAATCATAGTCTCAGTAATGTTTACATAAAGTTTCAATATTATTGCTTGCGCTAAACTTGAAATATGACAGTATAATTATCTCATCACTGTATATGTCGTCAAACATTTATATCTCAATGAATCTAGTTGTTCTCTCTACCCAGCATTGTACACGTTAGGAGCTATATTTATCACTAGAAAAATCTCCTAGAAAACGTATGCATATAGAATAACATCATTTTTTTTTCTATATCAAAGCTTACGCCTGCTATTTCAATATATATTGCCCTTCGTATACAATGCTGGGTAGAGAGAACA